ACATAGTCAAACACAACTAGACAACCTGAACTTGTCACTGAGACTCAATTATGGGTTCCATTAGCATTTTAATGTACTAATTAGAATAGTGGTTAACAGTTAGTGAGTATTTGCTGATCACATTACCCGAATTTCTACCTATTAAGTCTAATTATTATCCTTATTTTATGAAGAAGGACGTGATACATCTTACAGTTCTGCAATGATTTATTTTCTATAACACCGTTTCATCTGCAATTTATAACCTGTGGTTTGGCATGGCAAATATTAATAGGCAGGTAATTCACAGAGGAGACTGTAAATTCATAGCAGTTGGGCCGCCACGGCTTGGTGTTTAAGGGAGTCAGCTGACCACGCAGTTTGAGTCCCAGGCCCGGTGGCTTGGCAGCGCGCTGGGCATGTATGTGTGTGTGCTCAAAATTCTAAAAGAGGAAGAAGTGGATGAGAAGGGGTTGTGGTGTGACCATTCACCATGGGAGGTGCTATCTCCCTCTCTCACTGTCTCTGTCTCTTTCTGGTGAGCACATACACATTCTCTCAAATTAAAAACTGAAGTTCAGAGCTGCTCAATGGTTTGTGCAAGGTAACATCACTGTTAACTAACAGAGCTGGCCTTCACTCAGTTCACCAGGCTAACTTTTCTTCATTCTCCTTCTTGTTAGGATCTTTTATATTAAGACTCTTAGGAATCCAGTGTGTACTTAAAATAATTATGGGGTTCCCTTGTCCAGGGGTGTCATGATTTACAACTAGTACAGTCATCTCCTCTGAGGATGGACACCTCCTACCCTCCTTTGGGCAGTTCCTTACCCTCCCTGTGCTGCTCTTTCTTCACCTGCACTTCATCTCTGGGGACCGGCAGGTGGCATGGCGGTTAAGGTACTGGACTCTCACATGGCCAGTCATGGTTCAAGTCCCAGACCTGGCAGGTTGCTTTCTCTCTCTCTCTCTCGTGTATATGCCCTGTAGCAATTTTTAAAAAATGATCATTGAAATTAAATCTAAAACAATTTCTAAGAAATGATCTCTGAGGCGTCAACCCTCAAGTTTATAACTTTATGTAGTTCTCTCGTAAAAATAACAGTCTTGTGCAATGAGTAAAACTATGAACAAATTTTTTAAAAATCACTTTAAGGCTCACCAAAAAAAAAATTAGCTAATGAAACAAGTGGTTGCAAAAATCATATTTAAAATGGAAAACAATTCAATTTATAAATAAATAATTATTATAAATAATAAGGAGCAAATGTAACAAAAGAAATACAAAAATTCTTCTCTGGAAACTCTGAAGCATTAAAAGAAATTTGAAAAGACCTGAGTCAATAAAAAGGCATCCCGTGTTCATGGCTTGTAAGACGTAACAGCGTTAGATGTAATCGTCCCCATATTGATTACAGATTCAGCACAGTCCCTATCAAAACCCCAGTTAGCATGTTTGCAGAAATCAACAATCTGGTCCTGAAATTCATGTGGAAATTCAAGGTGGAGAGAATAGTTCAAGGAATCTCTAAAAAGAATGAAGTTGGGAGCAGGACAGTGCACAGCTAGAAAGTGCCGTACTCCCAAAAGCAGACCTCCATGGTGAAGTTCCAGGTTTAGAAGCATCTGGAGACATCCCTGTGTACACCAGAGTTGTGCGTGTGTGAGATCCAAGCCTGAGGCTGGAGGCGTGGGACACTGTTGACCTTACTGTCTGTCTTTTAAAGACAGGCTCTCGCCCTGGTACAGTCCTTCTGCCTCCGCCTCCCGGAGTAGAGCCAGGATTGAAGGCACATGCTACTGCACCTGGACTTTAGGTTTGGCCAGGAATCGAACTTGGGCCTCCCATGGCATCCCAGCCTGCAGAGCATACCGTCTTAGCGGTACACGCCACTGCAGCTGGGCCTGTCGTTTTTAATGCTGTGGCACTGGGGCAACTGTATGTGCGTTTGTGTTGCACGTGAGTCTTGTTTGTGTTTGTACTTGTGAGAGTCCATGTTCTTGCCAAGATTTAGAGAACCCGTTTAGAAATACTCCCCTTGTTCCTGTGCCAGTTCTGCAGAGCCAAGAGCGTATATCATAATATTTGCCTCCCCGTTTTCATCTGCAGAACAACAAAGTTAGAGTTACTGATAGGTGATAGATTATGATAGTAATGTATTTAAACCGTGTGAAGCCATTGCTCATAGCTCTTATGTGTATTTTTTTTCCACCTGTTTTTTTTTTCTTTTCCTTTTATTTCTTTTTTTCTTTTTTTCATTTCCTTTTCTTCCATACATTCAATCACATTATTATTTGTCTTACAAAGTGGATATTTTAACAGGTGAATATTCCTCCCTAGTACAGTTGATAAAACTACAAAATATCTTGGGACCAGCAGTTAGCGTAATGGCTATGTCGCTGGACTCCCAGGACCCGGTAGCTTAAAACTCACACCAGGAGTGTGTGTGTGCATGCCCAAGATCCCGAGAGGAGAACAGAAGAGAAGGGATTATGGCATGGCCATCCCCCCTGGGGGGTGATTTCTTGCTTTCTGTCTCTCTGTCTCTCTGTCTCCCTCTGTCTGGCGTGGCCATAAACCTCTCAAAAAAAAAAAAAACCTACAAAATATCTTCAACAGATAATACCACACCTTTTACGTGTATGATGGCCATGAGAATTTGGCATTAAATGGCGTACTTTGAGAAGCTTACCGGGGTATAGGGGCTCAGGTAAAATGCTGTCCGAAGGGCCTGTTCATTATTCCTTATTTGTGATCTTTCAAAGTCAACAGGGGCTGTCACTAAAGACCAGAGAACACTAAACCGATTTCAGTCCTTTCTTATATTTGTGGGATCTTTTTCCAATCATTTCAAAATAATTAGACACAACTTACGAGTCCATTTTTGTAGATAACACTTTAATGAAGTTGGAAGTGCATGGCAGTAAATAGAATGCACAGACACTTTGACTTGAAATCCATATCATCCTTTTTTTTCTGTCTTCAAGTTAATGATCATTTAATATATTAACATTTTCACTTACAAAGATACAATTTGCACATACAGGGAAAATGGGTTCCGTAGACACAACAGAATAACTGGGGAAAAGCCTGGAACTGCATCCCATGCCTGTGCATACACACTAGGGATGGAAAAGAAAAACTACACAGGATCAAAAAATTACACCTGTTTTTTTTTTCTTTTCCTTTTATTTCTTTTTTTCTTTTTTTCATTTCCTTTTCTTCCATACATTCAATCACATTATTATTTGTCTTACAAAGTGGATATTTTAACAGGTGAATATTCCTCCCTAGTACAGTTGATAAAACTACAAAATATCTTGGGACCAGCAGTTAGCGTAATGGCTATGTCGCTGGACTCCCAGGACCCGGTAGCTTAAAACTCACACCAGGAGTGTGTGTGTGCATGCCCAAGATCCCGAGAGGAGAACAGAAGAGAAGGGATTATGGCATGGCCATCCCCCCTGGGGGGTGATTTCTTGCTTTCTGTCTCTCTGTCTCTCTGTCTCCCTCTGTCTGGCGTGGCCATAAACCTCTCAAAAAAAAAAAAAACCTACAAAATATCTTCAACAGATAATACCACACCTTTTACGTGTATGATGGCCATGAGAATTTGGCATTAAATGGCGTACTTTGAGAAGCTTACCGGGGTATAGGGGCTCAGGTAAAATGCTGTCCGAAGGGCCTGTTCATTATTCCTTATTTGTGATCTTTCAAAGTCAACAGGGGCTGTCACTAAAGACCAGAGAACACTAAACCGATTTCAGTCCTTTCTTATATTTGTGGGATCTTTTTCCAATCATTTCAAAATAATTAGACACAACTTACGAGTCCATTTTTGTAGATAACACTTTAATGAAGTTGGAAGTGCATGGCAGTAAATAGAATGCACAGACACTTTGACTTGAAATCCATATCATCCTTTTTTTTCTGTCTTCAAGTTAATGATCATTTAATATATTAACATTTTCACTTACAAAGATACAATTTGCACATACAGGGAAAATGGGTTCCGTAGACACAACAGAATAACTGGGGAAAAGCCTGGAACTGCATCCCATGCCTGTGTATACACACTAGGGATGGAAAAGAAAAACTACACAGGATCAAAAAATTATCTAAGGGGCCACCAGTTAGCATAATGGCTATGTCGCTGGACTCCCATGTAGTCGACCACGGTTTGAGTCCCGGACCTGGTGGCTTAAACTCAATGCCGTGTGCGTGTGCGTGCCCAAGATCCCGAGAGGAGAATAGAGGAGAAGGGATTGCGGTGTGGCCATCCCCCCTGGGGGGTGATTTCTTGCTTCCTGTCTCTCTGTCTCTCTCTGTCTTTCTGTCAAGTGCACGTGCCCTGTAGCGAAAACCTCTCAAAAAAAAAAAATATTATCTAGAAAGTAGATCTGGGTCACTTTGTTTTATAATTGAATGACTATACAGGTTTCTAACTCAGTGATCACCTCTTTGTTAAGCAGCTCACATAATTTTCTTTTTTTTTTTTTTCTTTTAACTGGTTAGACCCTGTGACCTAACTTACTTTTCCATTTTTCTCCCCATGGGCCCCCAAATAGCTGTATTAATAGGAATATATGATGTGTGTATTCTTTTCAAAAAGGGACATCAAGGTGGTCTTAGATGTCTGTCTTCCATTCTGGCGTTTCCTTTCATACACCCCTTTTGAATTTTCTGTTTAAAACCTGGCATTCCGATAGCTTTTCTTTGGCCCAGTGCCTGGGCTGCGTACTGAAGCAGCAAATTAGGAATGTTAAGACGTCTCCCAAAGAAAAATGTTTGTTATGAAAGTAGAGCTGATGTGACACTTCGAATTAGAGCTTCTTAACTTGTCTAAGTGACAGTTAATGATCTTTTCTCCTTTTTCTTTCCTGCTTTTATTTTAAAGGGGGGAGTCGGAACAAGGGAAGTCATGAAAGAAATGCCCAGAGGCCGCGATTGAGATTTGGTTCACCGAACTGTTACATGTCAAATGGACTCCACTGATAATGCATCTTTTGTCTCTTTTCAGGAGCTAACTTTGTTACTCGAAAAATTAGCCGATCAGTAGCTAAGATTTACCTTGGACAACTGGAATGTTTCAGTTTGGGAAATCTGGATGCCAAACGAGATTGGGGCCACGCCAAGGACTACGTCGAGGTAGGAACTCATTACATCCCTAATAATACCCATATCCACTGACGTTGTAAATGCCAGACGTGGGGGCATACAAACTTCCGCTGATACAGATAGGCGTACACTTATATTCCTCTTAATTTAAGGCTTGCTGGTTCAGGAGTGTGTGTATTTACACTGTAGATTACTTAAATAAGGAGATCTTTCATTCTTTTAATTATTTAAAAAACAAAGGTGCTGATCAGTACTTTGGTTAATGAGTGGGTAGATGGATGGGAAAAAATGTCCGAATCATTCTCTTCCTTGCCTTCCAACGCGTCTTACCCCCTCCGCCTTCGCTTTCCCTGTTCCCTCCCTATTCATACACAGGTAACTAACTATGAAAGAATGTATTGGATATTAAAGCACTGGTTCTCAATTCTTCAAGAAATACTACCTACTTTCAATTTATATAATCTAATACCTCCAGGTTTACATTACTCTAGTAAGATCGTCTGAGAGTACTGTTCTTATAGAACTTTGGTTTCTGCCTCAGTAGAGTCTGATCACTACGATTGGCCCATTAAATAAAGAGAAAGACAAGGTAATAATGATACTGTTGCAGAATAACGGATACAGTTAAAGGGGAATTTAGATCTTCGCTTTTGTAATGCCTATGAAGGTTAAGGTTTGGTTACATATGTTAAATATACAAGAAGTGTGATTATCTTTTTTTCTAGAAACAGAGTTTTTTTTGCTATAAAGCACTTGTGCCTGCCAGAGACAGAGAGATAGAAAGTCTCTCCTCCGTTCTCCTCTCAGAATCTTGGGCATGCACGCATATGCACCCATGAGTTTTAAGCTGCCAGTTCCAGGACTCAAACTGCAGTCTACTACGTGGGAGTCCAGTGACGTAACCATTACGCCCTCTAGTGGCCCCATGATTTTCTCTTTTATGAACAAATGGTTACATTTTATTTTGCCCGGGTTGGCATGTTTTTAAGTTACCATGTTGGTTCTGTGGTCAGACAGGAACTAGCTTGGTGGTGAAGCGTACCTGTCCTCATTCAGGTCCTCAAAGAAACTTGTGCTCACAGACCATTTCTGTACTAAATATTTACGCCCTGGGTTTCCCCGTTTATTAGAGTGATTCAAAAAAGAAACGTGAATGTTAATGAAAAAGCACACAAGTCATTTACTTGCTAATGTAGAGCTTACCTTCACCTATGTTTTAATTTTTGTTTATAATAGTTAAACATACGTGTGCATTTGAACACACAGAGCTATTTTATGTATAGACAAGTGGCTAGTTCTGATTTTAAATTCTGAACAGTAGAACATTTTGATCTTTTAAATGTGTTCCTCTAAGCTATAATTACAAAGAAGCATTTTATAGCATTAGTCCTCAAATATAGTTTAGAACATTATGTCAAAAAATATGTAGGTCCTCACTTAGAAATTTTAAGGAAGTAGGAGATAGGAGATATTTGCAGGAGAAACTGAAACTTTCTATTGTCTACCCTAAATGGCCTTACCTACTGAAAAATATGAGGCAAGTCTTATAAAATTAAATACATTATTTTCTAATGATACCATTTGGGGGTATAGCTACTTTCTAGCTACCACATATGCTTAGAGCTATATAGAAAGCTAATGCCTATCCCCCTCTAGCCAAACTCTTCTTCATGGTGGGAAACCAAATAGATTGAATTTCATTCCATTTAATGGATTATTTTGCACTTGAGCAAAAAAGAAGTTTATATTGGAACTCAGAAATCAAATAGAGTTTTTTTTAAAGAATTATTATTTTATTTAACTTTATTTATTTATTTATTTTAACTTGACCGGAGGTGGAGGAAGGGAGAGTAAGAAAGCAAGCTGTCAAGTCTGGGGCTCGAACCACATTTGGCCATGTGGGAGTCCAGTGCCCTTAACCACCATGCCACTTGCCGGCCGAAAATCAAATAGATTTTTATAGTGAGGGAAATGCTCTAACAAAATGTCCACAGTGCTTGTTACTGGTTCTTCTTTATACTTTGTGTATTTTTTCATTGAGATGAACAGGTAAACCTTTGCAGTTTGGAGGGTGTGGCCTTTTTAAAACAGAGCAAAAAAAATAAAAAAAATCCAAGAAAAACAAATGAGACTGCTAAGTAGATGCACAAATAATGAAATATTTTGTGAGCTAGTGGGTCTGAAGGGCCCTCCTGTCGTTTTAATCCCCAAATGCCAAGGCCAGCACTGCTTGGGTGTAGCCCAAATCTTGGCATGAAGAGCCTACATTTGTAGTCACATAAAATAAAGTATTCTATAAACGTTTTGGCTCAAATACTGCCCAAGTACGTCCCAAATGTAGTCATTTTACAGCTGCCTGACAAGATGGTGTCAGGAGAGCGTGCCTAGAAGCCGAAGTAGTCACTCAACAGTAAGATGCCTTTAGTCAGAACGTGGGATGGTCAGATCCGTAGAGACACACACACACTCTCACACCCACAAAGTGAAGTCTTTCTCCTTGGTATCCAAGACCTGATTTCTTCGACAATACAAGTGGGTTTTGTGTATTAAGGATCCTCTTGGGGTTCTAACAGTAACATGTGTTGATGATGTAAGAAGCATTTTATAGTTCTCAGTTATGTGTCTGAAAGAAGTCTCAATTTCTCGATTTCTGAAAAGGTACCATTATTAAGTAAGAATTTATAGTTTGCTGCTCTCCACTTGAAGAAATACTGCCATTCCTTGCGTTTCAAAATGCATTAAAATGAGGTTACTTCAGAGATTTATGACTCAAAGTAAATTTGTTGCCAAAATTAAAGTCAACCATCCTAAAAATGAGAAGAGAGCAGCGTTGTTGGTTTAAAACGCACGTGCATCCCGACACCGTAATCAGCCTTAAAGAAGCGTTTGCAAGTGTAGATCAAAGTCCTGGTAGCATTTCCTTTCCCCAGGTTCCCCATTATGTAACCACTTTCAGATATGCACAGAAATACGGGTCGATGTTTAGATGAAGCGATTTATACTTTTCCTTGCAGATGAGTTTCTGTGATGAATAATACAGTTTGTCTTCTTCTTGCTGTGGGATGAGGAGCAGGTGACTCTGCTATACCTGTGAATGGCTCCTTGGCCTTTGACAGGTTGTTTTATTTCAATTTGCGCATCTGTGAAAACGATAGAATAGCAACCCTGTAAAAAGCGAGCATCAGCGTGCCGTCCATGTGTGATTAGAGTCTATCTCTGTCTTGTATACATGTTTGCAACTATGGGTGGTCATTTCCTGATCGAGTCTCTCTCTGTCTTGTAAACATGTTTGCAACTATGGGTGGTCATTTCCTGGTGCTGATTCCAGCTCATTAACATCTGTCTAGAGTCTTGTGTCCTAGATCAGATGCTTTAAAAATTATTCAATTGAGTAAGAAGTACTTCAACTAGAAATGAAAAAAATATTAAAATTATATTGTGGGGGTCGGTAGGTGGCATGGTGGCTAAGGGTGTTGGACTCCCACATGACTGACTGTGGTTCAAGTCCCGAACCTGGCAGCTTGCTTTCTAACTTTCTCTCTCTCTCTCTTCTCTCTCTTTCTCTTTCTCTCTCTCTCTCTCTCTCTCTCTCTCACACACACACACACACACACACACACACACACTGTCCCTCTCTGGTCAAATTAAAGATACATGAATAAATAAATAAAGTTAAATAAAATAGTTCTTAAATTATATCAAATTATGTTGTATTTCAAAAGAAAGGCAATTACATCTTTCCTTGTATTTTATTATAAATTAAACATGCAGAATAATTGAGTAAATCTTACTATTAACACCTATTAACATCTATATAGTCACCACCTAAGTTCTGTAACTAACACCTATAATTTCTGTCACAGTTTCGGGGGGAAAAAACGATATTTAATGACTGTAGTGCCAGTGACCCACAGGTATGAATATTTAATTTACACAAACAAAAAGTTTCCCTGAATTTTCATTTCTTATGGGATGTAGTTAGATAGCAAGTGAAACTTTTTGAATAGTTCTAGCTTCTTACGTTTTTACCTCATTCCTTCACAACCTGTTTTCATACCTGCCTGCCTTCATATAGCATGTCTTGAAGTTCACAGAAAAATGGAATTAAAACACAAATTTATTTTAGTGCCAAAAAGCTTTCTTTTTTTAGAGAGTTTTTTGCTATAGGGCACGTGCGCTCACCAGAAAGACAGTGAGACAGAGAGACAGAAAGCGAGAAATCATCCCCCAGGGGGGATGGCCATGCCGCAATCCCTTCTCCTCTATTCTCCTCTCAGGATCTTAGGCACGCACGCACACGTGCCTGGCGTGAGTTTTAAGCCACCAGGTCTGGGACTCGAACTACATGGGAGTCCAGCAACATAGCCATTACGCTAACTGCTGGTCCCAAAAAGCATTACTTTTTATAAAACATATTTTCCTTGTACTTTATGAATAGCCTTCACAAGCCCAAGAAGCGCTGTGCTGCTCCAAATTGAGAAGATTTCTTGACCGTGAGCCCGACCTCCCAGAACTTATGACGGATGAGTGTGTGCTGTGACCAGCTGAGATTGATGCTGGTTTTCTCAAACATACTTGGCTTTGGAACCTTTGGAACCGTTTATCTGGGTCACAGCTACAGCCAGGCCATACTGAGAGAAAAGTGAATTGGCAGGGATGTCTTTAAGCATGTCCCCATACACAGAGGGTCCCTTGCTCCAGGGAGAAACCGGTAATCAACACACCTAAGTTCAAGGGCTCAGCAAAATTCATTTATAAAGTGGTGAGGGATGTTCTTGTCACAGCTGTCCCCACAGAGGCTCCTGAGGAGTTTAACTGGTCCGAAGGCCATCCAGGGCATTGAGATCATCGGGGTGGACTTGGAGGTTCACCTGAACTTAACATTATACCCTTCCACCTGTTTTTGTCAGGGAGCACAGACGGAGAAACAATACAACTACGTTCAGAAAGAAGTACAATTGCCTAATATTAGGCATTTATTTTGTGCCCGGCACTTTACCGAGGACTTGATACACATTGCCTTCTATAAT